GTGTAATGTAATGTGTGTCGTGGAGGAGGTCATGAATATGCTCTGTGTGTAATGTAATGTGTGTCGTGGAGGAGGTCATGAATATGCTCTGTGTGTAATGTAATGTGTGTCGTGGAGGAGGTCATGAATATGCTCTGTGTGTAATGTAATGTGTGTCGTGGAGGAGGTCATGAATATGCTCTGTGTGTAATGTAATGTGTGTCGGGAGGAGGTCATGAATATGCTCTGTGTGTAATGTAATGTGTGTCGTGGAGGAGGTCATGAATATGCTCTGTGTGTAATGTAATGTGTGTCGTGGAGGAGGTCATGAATATGCTCTGTGTTAATGTAATGTTGTCGTGGAGGAGGTCATGAATATGCTCTGTGTGTAATGTAATGTGTGTCGTGGAGGAGGTCATGAATATGCTCTGTGTGTAATGTAATGTGTGTCGTGGAGGAGGTCATGAATATGCTCTGTGTGTAATGTAATGTGTGTCGGGAGGAGGTCATGAATATGCTCTGTGTGTAATGTAATGTGTGTCGTGGAGGAGGTCATGAATATGCTCTGTGTGTAATGTAATGTGTGTCGTGGAGGAGGTCATGAATACGCTCTGGTGTGTAATGTAATGTGTGTCGTGGAGGAGGTCATGAATATGCTCTGTGTGTAATGTAATGTGTGTCGTGGAGGAGGTCATGAATATGCTCTGTGTGTAATGTAATGTGTGTCGTGAGGAGGTCATGAATATGCTCTGTGTGTAATGTAATGTAATGTGTGTCGTGGAGGAGGTCATGAATATGCTCTGTGTGTAATGTAATGTGAGGAGGTCATGGTGTGAGTGTTAGACAGGCTGACCTGGCTTTTGGACCATCTTCTGCAGATGCTGGTCCAGGTACTCCTGTCTCTTAGTGAGGGGTGGTCAGCCACTGTTCCATCAACCTCTCCAGGTCACCTTCCTACACACACACACACACACACACACACACACACACACACACACACACACACACACACACACACACACACACACACACACACACACACACACACACACACACACACACACACACACACACACACACACACACACACACACACACACACACACACACACAGCACAGCTCAGGCTCTATCCTTCCTATTTAGTTAGACAGTCTTCTCCTCTACAGACACAGACACACCCCTCAGCCCTGGTACTATCTGAACTTGTCCAATAAGAACAACATTTTCTGTTTTTGGGTGTAAAAATGTGGTGGGAACTGATTTCGGAATGTTTGCAGAGGACACAGTAGCGATGGCTAAATTAAGTCAAACACACTAGACGCACCTTCCACAGTATGCGCTTCAGGAAACTGAAGGTTTCAGTGTCTCTGTGGGAGTCTCTCCATCCACGGTGCTCTGAGAGGTCTCCTCCAGCCCCTCGCTCCCCCGCCACGCCTCTACATGGAGACGCCCCTGCCTCCTAACAGAGAGAAATACACACAATCTCATTAACCCTTTACACTCGTGGGAATTGCCCTCTATGGATAGGGCTAAATTGAAACGTTTAGCATGTTACTGTACAGCCACTGAGCTCCAATTTAAGCATTTGTCAGTTGCCCAAATCTGCCATTTTCAACCTGTATACGGGTACGAGTGTATAGGGTTAACTACTGACTGAACATTCAGTGTATTTTTCAGACATGTCACCCATGTAATCTGATTAATGACGGGTACTGCAGCTTAATGTCATAGAACAAACACACACACACACACACCCACCCGTACCTCTCCCTTCTGGTTGATGATAGGTACAGCGTATTGCAGCTTGACGTCGTAGAAGAGACAGGCCAGAAACACGTTGGCCACTCCTATCAGACTGTGGTTCTCCTGCTCGTCAAAGAACGGTCGGCATCACCTAGACAGGGGGAGGGGGAGAGAGGAGGGAGGTAGCGAGGCGAGAGGGGGAGAGCGAGAGGGGAAGGGGGAGACGGGGAGAGAGGGAGACAGGGGGAGAGAGGGAGACAGGAGGGAGACAGGGGGAGAGAGGGAGACAGGGGGAGACAGGAGGGAGACAGGGGGAGAGAGGGAGACAGGAGGGAGACAGGAGGGGAGAGGGAGACGGGGAGAGAGGGAGACAGGGGGAGAGACGGGGGGGAGAGGGAGACAGGGGGAGAGAGGGAGACAGGGGAGATGGAGAGGAGACAGGGAGAGGGGAGAGTAGGGAAGAGGGGAGAAAGCGTGAGACGGTAGACTAGGGCTCGATCCACTTTTTTTTTTAAATGCTCTCCTCCTTCTCACCTTCATCTGAAAAGACTTGACCAGTGAAAACAATATGGTGGAAGTTGGTCATTACGTTACACCTGGTCAGTTCTTTTAGATCAGAACAATGAAGGAGAGCAGGGAAGGATTCAGAAAGAGTCTAGAGCCTTAGATAGAAGTAGTTAACCACATCTCTCACACACGGTTGTAAACTCACAGGGTTGTAAACTCACAGGGTTGTAAACTCACAGGGTTTTCTTCGTCGTAGTTCTTCCACTCCTGGTAGAGTTCTCTCATGTCCACCAGTCTGTTCTTCATCTTCTCCAGAGCCCAGATCTGTTTCCCTTTCCCCTTACGCCTCACTGCGGGCTCACTCAGCACAGCATCACGCTAGAGAGAGAGAGAGAAGAGAGAAGAGAGAGAGAGAGAAGAGAAAAAGAGAGAGAGAGAGAAAGACAGAGGGAGGGAGGGAGGCAGAGAGAGGCAAAGAGTGTGGCAGAAGGAAAGAGAGAGGTTCTTACTGTGGAATGCAGTGTTTGGTTTTCGCCAGGCATAATGGGTCCATGTCGTCGAAAAGGTTGACTCAAGTTTACCAAAAAGCACCTGGACATCATCAAGACTCTTGGAAGGATGTTCTATGGACAGATGAGTCAAAAGTATAACCTTTTTGGATGACATGGGTCCCACTATGCCTGGCGAAAACCAAAACACTGCATTCCACAGTAAGAACCTCATACCAACGGTCAAGCATGGTGGTGGTAGTGTGATGGTTTGGGGATGCTTTGCTGCCTCAGGACCTGGACGACTTGCCTTAATAGAAGGAACCATGAATTCTGCTCTGTATCAGAGAATTCTACAGGAGAATGTCAGGCCATCAGTCTGTGAGCTGAAGCTGAAGCGCAGCTGGGTCATGCAGCAAGACAATGATTGAAAACACACAATCAAGTCTACATAAAAATGGCTAAAAAGCAACAAAGTCCAGACCTAATGCTAATTGAGATGTTGTGGCAGGACTTGAAACGAGCAGTTCATGGTTGAAAACTCACAAATGTCACTGAGTTACAGCAGTTCTGCATGGAAGAGTGGGCCAAAATTCATCCACAGCGACATGAGAGACTGGTCAACAACTACATGAAGCGTATAGGTTGGAGTCATTGCAGCTAAAGGTGGCACAACCAGTTATTGAGTGTAAGGGGGCAATTACTTCATTTATTTCATAAATGTGAGAAAAACTATGTAATTGTTGTGTTATTTATTCACTCAGGTTCCCTTTATCTAATATTAGGTTTTGGTTGAAGATCTGATAACATTCAGTATCAGAAATATGGAAAAATAGAGAAAAGGGGGCAAATACTTTTCCACGCCTCTATCTGGCATGTATTCTAAGTCGTAGGCTAAATATTGGAATGTAGCCCTAGAGATATATAATAGCTGGAAGACGATGAGCCGTTGCTTGTCGCTGTCCTCGTACCTTGAGCTGATAGCAGCATTCCAGGAGCTCCCGCTGAAAGGTACGTGTGTGTTTCGGAGACACTTGAAACCCTACCTCTTTAAGGAATACCTGGAATAGTATAAAGTAATCCTTCTACCCCCCCCCCCCAATAAAAAGAAAAGTGGTTGTCCCACTGGCTATCATAAGTTGAATGCGCCAATTTGTAAGTCGCTCTGGATAAGAGCGTCTGCTAAATGATTATGTAAATGTGTGGGTTTGGTCCTACCTGGGATCTCCCTTGCTCAGGTTCTGACTAGCTGGATTCAACACGGTCTGGTTCCCCTCCATCTCCACCACACATTTAGTCTTCAGATCCTTTTCTGGTGGGGAACACACAAGACATGCAGTATACAACAACAGTAAACAAGAACAGTTGTGATGGTTGAGACACGTCTAATTTCTGTGCCTGGCTATGATGGGTCCAGGAATAGCTGATGATTCAAGGGTTCCACCTGTTGCATTTCCTGATACCGCCCGTAGAGATCACTGAAGTCATCCTAAACTGTCCTGAAACCTTAACCCGATTTAGTTGGGATCCAAATTACGCCACAATTGTAGATTTGTGCAAAGGCCTGATCCTCAGGAATAACTGTTCGAGAATATCCTGATTTATTGAAGATCTTTTTTTTTTCTTACATTTGTATCAGAAAATATACTGTCTGTTTATAGTAAAAGTTCGTGGAAAAGATTAGAATTATTGATGTCGGATGCATTTTTCAAAAGCTCCTTTCAATTGAGACAGCGTCCAACATTTGACATTATTTTCTTATTGACAGGGAATCTTTGGGAATAAAAAAAGAAGCGCTGTGCGTTGATGTTATTTTACGACAGTTTCCAGCAGCGGACGGCATGACTCGTGCAAGCATGATTGCGTGGTGGTGGTGTTGTTGACAATTCTCTCCCTTCTCTAAGTTATTGTAGGCTTTATAACGCGTTTCATATTGTGAATTGAGAGTGTCGACGTAACCGAAGATATGGGGAAGCCAAAGAAAAAGAGTAAGCTTGTGGAACTACCTTCTACATTTCAGAAATGTTTCTCTCTGCTTGGTTTGCTAAATTAGCCATGCTGCTAACTTACCATTCAGCTAACTAGCTAGGCAAAGCTGCATTTCTATATAAACAACCAACCCGATCTCCATTTTTGTAGACTAATAAAAAAAAATGAGAACGCTAGGTATGGGTTGAGTATCTAAAAAGCTTGCTATGTATCTATGTTGTTACTATGTAACGTTAGCTAGCTAATGTTACCGAACTACTTTGCCAGCTGATCTGAGCCGAGCAGAGTTGATGATGATGACCATTGCTGATGTCATCAATCAGCTGGTCGAGGCGCATGAAGAAGGAAAAGACATCAACCTCAACAAGTAAGAACCTCAACCTAATGTTAGCTACCTAACCTCAACCTAACCAAATGTTAGCTACCTAACCCTAACCTCAACCTAACCAAACGTTAGCTACCTAACCCTAATCAACAGCTCTCCAAGGACTGCATTTGGTAATTGGTTACGATTCGCATCTACACTATATATATATATATATTATATTATATTTTTGTCATTTAGCAGATGAGCGACTGACAGGAGCATTTAGGGTTAAGTGCCTTGCTCAAGGGCACATCGGCAGATTTTTCACCTAGTCGGCTGGGGGATTAGAACCAGCGACCTTTTGGTTACTGGCACAATGCTCTTAACCACTAAGCAAAAGTATGTGGACACACCTTCAAAATTGTGGATTCGGCTATTCCAGCCACACCCGTTGCTGACAGGTGTATAAAATCGAGCACACAGCCATGAAATCTCCATAGACAAACACTGGCAGTTGAATGGCCTTACTGAAGAGCTCAGTGACTTTCAACATGTCACCTTCATAGGATGCCACCTTTCCAATAAGTTAGTTTGTCAAATTTCTGCCCTGGTAGAGCTGCCCCAGTCAACTGTAAGTGCTGTTACTGTGAAGTGGAAACGTCTAGGAGCAACAACTGCTCAGCCGCGAAGTGGTAGGCCACACAAGCTCACAGAACGGGACCGCCGAGTGCTGAAGTGCGTAGCGCGTAAAAATCGTCTGTCCTCGGTTGCAACACTCACTACCGAGTTCCAAACTGCCTCTAGAAGCAACGTCAGCACAATAACTGTTCGTCGGGAGCTTCATGAAATGGGTTTCCATGGCCGAGCAGCTGCACACAAGCCTAAGATCACCATGCGCAATGCCAAGCGTCGGCTGGAGTGGTGTAAAGCTCGCCTCCATTGGACTCTGGAGCAGTGGAAACATGTTCTCTGGAGTGATGAATCACGCTTCACCATCTGGCAGTCCGATGGACAAATCTTGTTTTGGTGAATGCCAGGAGAACGCTACCTGCACCAATGCATAGTGCCAACTGTAAAGATTGGTGGAGGAGGAATAATGGTCTGGGCTGTTTTTCATGGTTCGGGCTAGGCCCCTTAGTTCCAGTGAAGGGAAATCTTAACGCTACAGCATACAATGACATTCTAGACAATTCTGTGCTTCCAACTTTGTGGCAACAGTTTGGGAAGACCCTTTCCTGTTTCAACATGACAATGCCCCCGTGCACAAAGCGAGGTCCATACAGAAATGGTTCGTCAAAATCGGTGTGGAAGAACTTGACTAGCCTGCACAGAGCCCTGACCTCAACCCCATCGAACACCTTTGGGATGAATTGGAACACCGACTGCGAGCCAGGCCTAATCGCCCAACATCAGTGCCCAACCTCACTAATGCGCCTGTGGCTGACTGGAACCAAGTCCCCGCAGCAATATTATAATAATAATAATAATATGCCATTTAGCAGATGCTTTTATCCAAAGCGACTTACAGTCATGCCTGCATACATTTTTTTTTTTTTTGTGTGTATGGGTGGTCCCTGGGATCGAACCCACTACCTTGGAGTTACAAGCGCCGTGCTCTACCAGCTGAGCTACAGAGGACCACATGTTTCAGCATTTAGTGGAAAGCCTTCCCAGAAGAGTGGAGGCTGTTATAGCAGCAAAAGGGGGGGACCAACTCCATATTAATGCCCATGATTTTGGAAGGAGATGTTGGACGAGCAGGTGTCCACATACTTTTGGCCAGGTAGTGTATCTATAAGCTCCCAGTCCACCACCTTGCTAAAGCCCTGGGGGAGAGGTGTCTTGTGACCCACCAAGTAAACAAAGCATTATGTCATGCCAGAAACCTGTCTTAAGCTCAAATTTGTCCAATAGAAACTCTTAATTTTCATATCAGATGAGAAAAAAAAAATGTTTTGCTACGGTTTGCACTAATGAATACAACCCTGAATGGACTTCCACTAACCTCCCTTTTAAAACTCTTCTTTACACTTCATTATCAGGGTGAAGACCAAGTGCTCCGCTAAATATGGTCTGTCAGCCCAGCCTAGGCTGGTAGACATCATAGCTGCTGTTCCACCCCACTACCGACGTGCCCTAGTGCCTAAACTCAAGGCTAAACCTATCCGAACTGCCAGCGGGGTACGTACCTGTCTATCTGTCTGTTTTCAGGGTCCTGCTACTTACAGTGCACAAGCATTTACAATTTGAAATGAAGTTGTAGAGAACACAAGGAATGTGATGTTGTTGCTTGTCTCTTTGTCCAGATCGCAGTAGTGGCAGTGATGTGTAAACCCCATCGCTGCCCTCACATCAACTTCACAGGAAACATCTGTGTGTGAGTACATAAATGATGTAGCTTCAGTGAGACCAGAAGAACTCTGGCCACAGTGTCCTATTGATTATTATTATTATTATTATTTTTATGTTGATTTATAAAACTAAACAGCTATGTATTTATTGATCAGGAAAAACAACCAGCTATTTAATTGTGACTCTGACTACTTCAACAGCTACTGTCCAGGTGGGCCGGACTCAGACTTTGAATACTCCACACAGTCTTACACTGGCTATGAGGTAAACCATTAAAATAAAAAAACGGTTATCCCTAAAGCCTACAAGCTCAGTACCAACTCCCTGTACGCCGTTCAGGCATTGTGTTGAGTCTAAAGGGTGTCTTCTATAATTCTTCCCCCTGTCAGCCGACATCTATGAGAGCCATCAGAGCACGTTATGATCCCTACCTGCAGACCAGACACCGAGTGGAACAGGTCAGTGACACGTTCCCGCACACACCTCTAGATAGCCAGCAGTACCGTCTCCCGTCACGGCCCACGCCAGCAGTACCGTCTCCCGTCACGGCCCACGCTACAGAAGTGCTTGCCGCTGTCATAGAGTAATAATGACTTGCGTTTTACGTAGCGCTTTTTCCAAAGTCTCTCCCGTCTGTCCTGTCCAGTTGAAGCAGCTGGGCCACAGCGTGGACAAGGTGGAGTTCATAGTGATGGGAGGGACTTTCATGGCCCTGGCTGAGGAGTACAGAGACCACTTCATCAGGAACCTCCACGACGCCCTGTCAGGACACACCTCTAACAACGTAGCTGAAGCCGTCAGGTAATGCTACTAACCCCCCCCCCCCCCCCCCCCACCCCAACCCCGTTAGGACACACCCCTAACCCTGTCAGGACACACCCCTAACCCTGTCAGGACACACCCCTAACCCTGTCAGGACACACCCCTAACCCTGTCAGGACACACCTCCAATCATAGAGATCCTATTAAATGACTTACAAGAGGGGGGGATCTGTGATGTCATAATCCCTCAAAGTTCCATAAAGGGGGTGAAAATGGCAGCTATCTTGGTCAGGGAGAAATCCAAAACCAGTCTAATTAGGTGGGACTTGCAAAGCGTCGTAGACAACTTAAAGGGTATGGCACCTTGGTCTACCAATCACCCCCCCCCCCCCACACACCACCCACACCTTCAACCATACATTCATACTTTTATCATACCAATCAGTCCAACTGAACCTCGTTTCATCCCCTCATCCCCTCCATCCCCTCATCCCTCCATCCATCCCCCCCATCCCTCCATCCCCTCATCCATCCCTTCATCCCTCATCCCTCATCCCCTCCATCCCTCCCTCATCCCCTCATCCCTCATCCCCCATCCCCTCCCTCCATCCCCTCATCCCTCCATCCATCCCTCCATCCCATCCCCCATCCCTCCATCCCCTCCATCCCTCCATCCCCCCATCCATCCATCTCTGTATCCTTTATCCATCCAGTCATAACTTTCTTTTAACAGCTTCATCATTTGATTAAGGAATTAAGTTTTTTAAAATTTATTTTAAACTTCCGCAATGCCTCCTTGTCTTCTGTACTCTATTACATAAACGGTGGTACTCTAGTAGGAGAGTGTATAAAAGTGTAGTAGGCTAGTGTGTGTGTGTAGTTATGTGATCTAACTGCCCCACAATCCAAAGTAATAAGATTGATTGTGTAGTCTATCGAAGTAATCAGACCAATTATTTTACTAAATGTAACTGACTATATTTGACTTCTTGGCTCTAGTTAAACATTTTAAACTACCACAAAAATACTTAAAGCAAAGAGTTAAAGCAAGTCCCACCTATTTTTCTTCATGGAAAATTACCGTCCAGTTGGAATGAATGGCAGGAGAGGCATACGTGATGCTTTTCCTGCTTTACTTGGAAAGGAAAGAAAAGTACGGCATGTGATGTATCACAAATTGTGTAATAGAATTACCTAAAATGTTGTCATATAATTATAATACAGTTTATACAGGTTTTATACAAATCTTCTGTATAAATAACGTCTAAAATATATGTAAACAGAAATCTGTGATTGCTGTTAAATGATACAACATCAGTACTTGTTGCATTTACAACTTGTCTTAAGTCCTATCATCAACTGATTTGAGTCAGTGTATGGCTGTGGATTGACTGCATTGTTTGAGTGGACTGTTAGCATATTGGCTAATTAATGGAATCATTCCTCTAAAACTGGCTAGCTAGCTAACATGCATACAGAGCAAATCAATTCTTCACATTCATAGTGTAAAACAATCTTATCATGGCACTGGCAAACCATGGTTGACCAACTCCCTGACAAACATGGCTGACCTGTGGACCATCGTAAGAAGGTTCATGTCCATTCTAGTATTCCTAATTCTATGCCTCTAACGACGTAGCTGAAGCCATCGGGTTTTACCACTACCCACTCTAACCCGGTCAGGACGCGCCCCATAACCGGGTCAGGACGCGCCCCATAACCGGGTCAGGACGCGCCCCATAACCCGGCCAGGACGCGCCCCTAACAAGCTAACAGAGGCTGTCAGGTACCAACTAGACCCTACAATATATCTCATGTTATATGGAGGACTCTTTGCTCCCTCTGGTCTCTCTTTGTGAAATGGTTGCTCTCTGTAGTCCTCCTGTAGCTCAGTTGGTAGTGCATGGCGCTTGCAACGCCAGGGTTGTGGGTTCGTTTCCCACGGGGGCCAGTATGAAAAATGTATGCACTCACTAAACTGTAGGTCGCTCTGGATGAGAGGCGTCTGCTAAATGACTAAAATGGAGTGTAATGGTTAGTTTGTTCCACCAGATGGCACTGATCTCTAGCTTGAAATGGAGCACATGCTGTAGACAAGGGGTTCCCAAACCTTTTCACCCTGGGGTTCCCAAACCTTTTCACCCTGGGGTTCCCAAACCTTTTCAACAACCCTGGTGTTTCCCCAAACCTTTTCACCCTGGGGTTCCCAAACCTTTTCACCCTGGGGTTCCCAAACCTTTTCACCCTGGGGTTCCCAAACCTTTTCACCCTGGGGTTCCCAAACCTTTTCACCCTGGGGTTCCCAAACCTTTTCACCCCTGGGGTTCCCAAACCTTTTCACCCTGGGTTCCCAAAACCTTTTCACCCTGGGGGTTCCCAAACCTTTTCACCCTGGGGTTCCCAAACCTTTTCACCCTGGGGTTCCCAAACCTTTTCACCCTGGGGTTCCCAAACCTTTACACCCTGGGGTTCCCAAACCTTTTCACCCTGGGGTTCCCAAACCTTTTCACCTGGGGTTCCCCAAAACTTTTCACCCTGGGGTTCCACAAACTTTTCACCCTGGGGTTCCCCAAACCTTTTCACCCTGGGGTTCCCAAACCTTTACACCCTTGGGGTTTCCCAACACTTCACCCTGGGGGTTCCCAAACCTTTTCACCCTGGGGTTCCCAAACCTTTTTACCCTGGGGTTCCCAAACCTTTTTACCCTGGGGTTCCCAAACCTTTTCACCCTGGGGTTCCCAAACCTTCCACTCTATGGGCACCAGCACTGTTCATGACACACACTGTTCACACTCCTTTGTTGGTGGAGAGAATGTTGCAGTTTAAAGCTTATTTCCTGCAATTCTACACATTTTTGTCACTGGGGTGCAGAGAAAATGTTGCAGTTTAAAGCTAAATTTTCTTGCAATTCTATACATTTTGCAATGTCTAATGTCTATTCATGTGATATTATAAATAAATAAAAAAACGCTAGTTGATCTGGACATTTCTGACAAGTTATAAAGGTTTGCAATGACTAACATGACAAGAGGAACTGTCCCGTGTAGCTCAGTTGGTAGAGCATGGCGTTTGCAACACCAGGGTTTGTGGGTTCGTTTCCCACGGGGAACCAGTATGAAAAAAAAAAAAATAATTAGAAAAATGTATGCACTCACTTAACTGTAAGTCACTCTGGATAAGAGCGTCTCCTAAATGACTAAAATGAAAATGATGCACGACCCAATTTAGAAATGTCACCTTGTGCATTCTACTATTACAACTTTCAAGAGTAAGTTTAAAGCTGGACTGAGTTCCTTAAAAAAAAACACCAAAAAAACGGTTTTATTTATTTTGTATTTTGTTGAGCGGGGGATCTTTGGGAGTTAAAACATGACTCATGCTTTGGCCCTTCGATACGGTAGGAGGGAGACGTTTCGTGTGACTTCAGGGAGATTAATAGAAGTTCGAGGGATGTGATCGAGGAGTAGGGGAATGGAGGTCTGGACCCTGAGGGCTTGTTTGTTAGTCAGGGTATTTAGTCCCTAGTGGCTGAGAAGGCGCGCTCCTGTATTGCTCATCCAGCAGTGTTATCAGCAGGTTCGTTAGGACAGATTACACTAATTGTTGTGGCTGTTTATCAGGCTGAGACGTTCGAGGCCCTTCTCTGCTGTGTCTGCCTGTGTCTGCACCTGTCTCCCTGTCTGCCTGTCTAAGCGCCTCTCTGCCAGTGTAAGCATGTGTGCTCACTGGCTTGTGTGTATGAGAAAGCAGTCCTGTTTCCTCCGAGTCCCACTATGCCTCCGTTCGCTTAATGAGAAAAGCTTCAGCATGTAACCTGCAAATAACCATTCAGATAATAGCATTTCTATTGACTAATATCAGCCAATCTGATGTGTTCTCCGGAGCAATAACTCCTGTGATTGTCTTAAGTCAGTCATCAGATTGTTAGAATGGACATTATGTTCCCAGTAATAGGTTGGAGGAGTATGGGCTGAGATGGCTGGTCTAGATTATGAGGAGGGTCGTTATCTAACCTGATGGCTGGTCTAGATTATGAGGAGGATGATCGTTATCTAACCTGATGGCTGGTCTAGATTATGAGGAGGATGATCGTTATCTAACCTGATGGCTGGTCTAGATTATGAGGAGGATGATCGTTATCTAACCTGATGGCTGGTCTAGATTATGAGGAGGATGATCGTTATCTAACCTGATGGCTGGTCTAGATTATGAGGAGGATGATCGTTATCTAACCTGATGGCTGGTCTAGATTATGAGGAGGATCGTTATCAAACCTGATGGCTGGTCTAGATTATGAGGAGGATGATCGTTATCAAACCTGATGGCTGGTCTAGATTATGAGGAGGATGATCGTTATCAAACCTGATGACTGGTCTAGATTATGAGGAGGATGATCGTTATCAAACCTGATGGCTGGTCTAGATTATGAGGAGGATGATCGTTATCAAACCTGATGGCTGGTCTAGATTATGAGGAGGATCGTTATCAAACCTTTCCAAATGGAGAAAATGACAGCCAGACTGAAGACGTAGATGTCTAATCTCAATACATCCTGAATCTGCTCTCCTTGGCCCTACAGTTTCAAGGGGGCAGAAGATACACAGAGAAAATCTAACTTTGTTGTGCCGTTTTATGATGTGATTTTCCTGCCAGTGAATTGAAGTGGGGTTGACCAGGTACTTGCGCTTGAGATAGAAGTTGCCCCTAATGTAATCACAGATCTATAATCAGATTACGATTCTTTTATTGTCCAATTGTAAACAAGGTCCAACAGGAATTTGGGTTCCGCTTTATCACAACCCCTCTGAAAGACAGACAGGCATACAGAGGTTGGAGCAGAAGGCTGGATAGATGACCTATCCCCTCAATCTGACCCAGGGGGCTGGATAGATGACCTATACCCTCAATCTGACCCAGGGGGCTGGATAGATGACCTATACCCTCAATCTGACCCAGGGGGCTGGATAGATGACCTATACCCTCAATCTGACCCAGGGGGCCGGATAGATGACCATACCCTCAATCTGACCCAGGGGGCTGGATAGATGACCTATACCCTCAATCTGACCCAGGGGGCTGGATAGATGACCTATACCCTCAATCTGACCCAGGGGGCTGGATAGATGACCTATACCCTCAATCTGACCCAGGGGGCTGGATAGATGACCTATACCCTCAATCTGACCCTATCAGCCATAGAAATAGAATCTCATTCTAGTTCTTTGGTATCAGAGGTCTGTTACTGACAACTAACTCACTCCTCCCTTTCCTGTCTAGGTACTCAGAACGCAGTAACACCAAGTGTGTTGGCATCACCATTGAGACGCGTCCTGACTACTGTCTGAAGAGACACCTCAGTGACATGCTGGGGTACGGCTGTACCCGGCTGGAGATAGGGGTCCAGAGCGTCTACGAGGACGTAGCACGAGACACCAACAGGTGAGTGTCCGAGGTAACTGGAGAGTGTGTGTGTGTGTGAGTGATAGGGGTTCAGAGCGTCTACGAGGACGTAGCACGAGACACCAACAGGTCAGAGGGCAGGGGTTAAGGGTCAAGAGGGGTTTTGAATGGAGTCATAGCGACTGCTAGTGATATGTCACTTGTCATATGTCATTAGTAAAACTCATAGCCGCTAGTCATGTCACCAGAAACTCTAGACCCACTCCAATTCGCATACTGCCCCAACAAATCCACAGATGATGCAATCTCTATTGCACTCCACACTGCCCTTTCCCACCTGGACAAGAGGAACACCTATGTAAGAATACTGATCATTGACTACAGCTCAGCGGTCAACACCATAGTCCCCTCCAAGCTCATCACTAAGCTAAGGACCCTGGGACTGAACACCTCCCTCTTCAACTGGATCCTGGACTTCCTGCCGCCCCCAGGTGATGAGGGCAGGCAACAACACATCTGCCACGCTGACCCTCAACACCAGGGCCCCTCAGGGGTGCGTGCTTAGTCCCCTCCTGTACTCCCTGTTCACCCACGACTGTGTGGCCAAGCACGACTCCGACAACACAACGGTGGTAGGCCTGATCACAGACAACGATGAGACAGCCTATAGGGAGGAGGCCAGTGACCTGGCAGTGTGGTGCCATGACAACAACCTTTCCCTCAACGTCAGTAAGACAAAGGAGCTGATCGTGGACTACAGGAATCGGAGGGCCGAGCACGCACCTATCCACATCGACAGGGCTGTAGTGGAGCGGGTCGAGAGCTTCAAGTTCCTCTGTGCCGAGCTTCCTGCCATCCAGGACCTCTATACCAGGCGGTGTCAGAGTAAGACCCTATAAATGGTCAAAGACTCCAGCCACCCAAGTCATGGACTGTCCTCTCTGCTACCGCACGGCAAGCGGTACCGATGCACCAAGTCTGGAACCAACAGAACCCTGAACGGCTTCTACCCCCAGGCCATAAGACTGCTAAATAGTTAGTCCGGGTAGCTTTTGGTTAGCTATTTAACTATCTGCATTGACCCTTTTTGCACCAACTCTTTTGACTCGTCACATACACTGCTGTTACCGTTTATTATCTATCCTGTTGCCTAGTTACTGTCTCTGCTACTATCTATTATATATCACTTTACCCCTCCCTATATGTAGTACATATCTACCTCCATTACCTCGTACCACTGCACATCAACTCAGTACTGGTACAGTACTCAGTACTGTATATAGCCAAGTTATCGTTACTAATTGTGTATTTATTCCTCGTGTTATTAACTTTCTGTTATTTCTCCTGTTCTCTCTGTGTTGTTGGGGGGGGAAGGACCCGTCAGTAAGCATTTCACTGTTAGTCTACACCTGTTGTTTGCCAAGCAGGTCACAAATACAATTGTATTTGATCTAAAGGGCAGAGACCCGGGGTTTGAATGGAGTCATAGCTACTAATCATATGTTAGTGTTAGTCACGACTCATATGTCACTCATATGTCAGTAGTCTTAGTCATAGCCACTGGTCCCGTGTAGCTCAGTTGGTAGTGCATGGTGCTTTCAACGCCAGGGGTTGTGGGTTCGATTCCCACGGGGGGACCAGTACGGGGGGGGGGGGAAAAAGTATGAAAATGTTTACACTCACGACTAACTCGCACTGAATAAGAGCGTCTGCTAAATGACTAAAATGGGTCATGTAAATGTTAGTCATAGCCACTGGTTATACTGTGTAATTCGGAAAGTATTCAGACCCTTTACTTTTTCCACATTTTGTTACGTTACAGCCTTTTCTAAAATGGATTCAATAGTTTTTTCCCCCTTCATCAAGCTACACACAATACCCCATAATCATAAAGCAAAAATAGGTTTTTAGAAATGTTTGCAAATTTACAAAAAATGTAAAACTGATATCACATTTTACATAAGTATTCAGACCCTTTACTCAGTACATTGTAGTGTGTAATGTGTGTGTCTTTTACAAGCTCACTGTGTAATATTTGTGTGTGTGTTTCCAGAGGTCACACGGTGAGGGCGGTGTGTGAGTCGTTCCACTTCTCTAAAGACGCAGGTTTCAAGGTGGTCTCCCACATGATGCCTGACCTCCCTAACGTTGGTATGGAGAGGGACGTGGAGCAGTTCATAGTGAGTAACACACTCTCACACACACACACACACACACACACACACACACACACACACACACACACACACAGAGGGACGTGGAGCAGTTCATAGTGAGTAACACACACACACACACACACACACACACACACACAGCGGGACGTGGAGCAGTATCTACACTGAGTGTACAAAACATTAAGAACACCTGCTCTTTCCATGACATAGACTGACCAGGTGAATCCAGGTGAAAGCTATGATCCCTTATTGATCATAGTCACTTGTTAAATCCACCTCAATCAGTGTAGATGAAGGGGAGGAGACAGGTTAAAGGAGGATTTTTAAGCCTTGAGACAATTGAGACATGGATTGTGTATGTGTGTCATTCAGAGGGTGAACGGGCAAGACAAAATATTGAAGTGCCTTTGAACAGGGTATGGTAGTAGTTGCCAGGCGCACTGGTTTGGTGTGTCAAGAACTGCAACGCTGCTGGGTTTATCAAGAATGGCCCACCACCTAAAGGACATCCAGCCAACTTGACACAACTGTGGGAAGCATTGGAGTCAACATGGGCCAGCATCCCTGTGGAACGCTTTCGACACCTTGTAGAGTCCATGCCCCAGACAAATTGAGGCTGTTCTGAGGGCAAAAGGGGGAAGTGCAACTTAATATTAGGAAGGTGTTCCTAATGTTTTAGAATACTCAGTGCCAAGCGTTTTACACGAGAGGATAAATTCTATGAAATGTGTTTGTAGTTTGTCAGGATTTGTTAAGATCTAAACCTATTTTGCACAAATATACTGTACTTTTATATTTGAGCAGAATGTTGCCAAGTCCAACTAACCTCTCCTACATTGGTCTGGCCCTGATTTTGAAAGAGCTCCATTTTTTTAAATGTGTGGTAGCTAATTGTTCCACAGCATGCTGACTGGACCCAGCCCACTGCCGTGGTTCTCCATCTCCATCTCCGTCCCAAATGGCGCCCTGCCAGCCAGTCAGCCTGTGGTGGCTCATAGCTTCCCATTACAGAGAAGAGTCTATTACAGTGATTTTTAATGGGTAGATCATTACGGGTTGGGATGATCCCGTGGCAGGTCAGACAATGTGCTGAGGCTTCACTGCTATGCCCGTGCTCGGCTCTGTTCAGTACGTGTGTGGTTGGACGCATGCATGCGTCAGAGACTCATCGAAAGGGTCACTGAGTGTGAACAGCGTTTTCACACTGCTGAGCTGCATTGCACTAGCCTGGTTACACGTCCACTATAGTTGCTATAGTAATGAACCATGTGTATAGTTGCTATAGTAATGAACCATGTGTATAGTTGCTATAGTAATGAACCATGTGTATAGTTGCTATAGTAATGAACCATGTGTATAGTTGCTATAGTAATGAACCATGTGTATAGTTGCTATAGTAATGAACCATGTGTATAGTTGCTATAGTAATGAACCATGTGTATAGTTGCTATAGTAATGAACCATGTGTATAGTTGCTATAGTAATGAACCATGTGTATAGTTGCTATAGTAATGAACCATGTGTATAGTTGCTATAGTAATGAACCATGTGTATAGTTGCTATAGTAAGGAACCATGTGTATAGTTGCTATAGTATGAACCTTGTATAGTTAGTAATGAACCATGTGTATAGTTGCTATAGTAATGAACCGTGTGTATAGTTGCTATAGTAATGAACCGTGTGTATAGTTGCTATAGTAATGAACCATGTGTATAGTTGCTGTAGTAATGAACCATGTGTATAGTTGCTGTAGTAATGAACCATGTGTATAGTTGCTATTAGTAATGAACCATGCGTATAGTTGCTATAGTAATGAACCATGCGTATAGTTGCTATGTAATGAAAACCATTCGTTATATTGCTATATAATGACCATGTGTATAGTTGCTATAGTAATGAACCATGTGTATAGTTGCTATAGTAATGAACCATGTGTATAGTTTGCTATAGTAATGAACCATGTGTATAGTTGCTATAGTAATGAACCATGTGTATAGTTGCTATAGTAATGAACCAAACATGAATCTGAGCTAGCCAGAACAGTATGGTTTGTGTGAATTGTTTAGGATAGGAGTCCATTCAGAGCCAGCTAGCGTAAAATGATCTCTCTTCTACGGCCTCTGGATACGTCTGCCTCCTTTTGTTCATTTACAAAGAGCTGCCAAGACATTGATCAGTGTTGCTGCCTGTTACAGATGTAAGAGTCACGCTGTGAAGGGATAACAGGTTACAGCTGAGGTTGATCAAGTCCACCTATACTAGACAATGACTCACTCAGTCTAACCTTTTACAATGTGAACGATCCAATCAAAATCAATCATTGGATTTTATATTAATACAGTGGGGTCTGAAATAGAAAATTTGAAAAAGATTAGCAATAATGACTGTATAAAATAAATAATTGAAATACTGAGCTAAATTGTGTATGCTCAAGAAATTTGGGAAATTATATTATTTTAGACAAACAATTCCTCAGCGAAAGATTGTGTTTAACAAGTACTTTTTTTTTTCTCAAAGGTAGAGGTCAAAATTATTGACACCCATAAAGTAGTCAAAAGTTTAATATTTGGTCCCATATTCCTAGCACGCATTGACTACATCAAGCTTGTGACTCTACAAATATGTTGGATGCATTTGCAGTTCGTTTTGGTTGTTTCAGATTTATTTTGTGCCCAATAGAAATTAATGTTAAATCATGTATTTTAATGCCTGAAAAACACCCACACCATTATTTTGTTGGGTATACCCACACCATTCCAACAAAGAAAAGCTGCTTTTTAACATGGTTAATTAAAAACATTTGGAAGGAAAAGTATTTCACTAATATTGTCATTATATTATAGGTTATATTTAAAAGAAATCTGGAAACACTGGAGTTACTTTAATATCATAAATAAGATTCCATGAACAGGGGAGGAGCTCATCCTAGATCAGCACTCCTACACTAAGACGCTTTGTGATAAAAAAAACAAAATAAAAAACTTTATTTAACTAGGCAAGTCAGTTAAGAACAAATTCTTATTTACAATGACGGCCTACACCGGCCAAACCCGGACAACGCTGGGCCAATTGTGCATCGCCCTATGGGACTCCCAATCACGGCCGGTTGTGATACAGCCTGGAACCGAACCAGGGGGGTCTGTAGTGACGCTTCAAGCACTGAGATGCAGTGCCTTAGACCGCTGCGCCACTCAGGAGCCAAACACGGGCCCAGATGGAAGGTACATCACTCTAACTGGTCTTCTATCAATCTTTACCAGACCTTCTACAAATCCAACCTTCTATCAGGCTTACAGACCTTCATCACATTACCAGACCTTCTATCAGACATTACCACCAGACCTTCTATCAGGCATTACCAACCTCAGGAAATTCACCAGACCTTCTATCGGGCATTACCAGACCTTCTATCGGGCATTACAGACATTGGCATATCGGGCATTACCAGACCTTCTATCAGACTTCATTGGCATTACCAGACCTTCTATTGGCCATTACCATACCTTCATCAGGACCTTCTATCTGGAAAAAAGCATTACCAGTCCTTCTATCAAATCAAATCAAATTTTATTGGCCACCATGGCCGAATACAAACAGGTGCCAGACATTACAGTTGAATGCTTACTTACAGCCCTAACCACAGTGCATTTTTTTTTTTTTTTTTTTTTTTTTTTTAAATAAACAACAACAAAAAAAGTGAGAAAAAAAGAGCAGAAGTAAAATAAAATAACAGTAGGGAGGCAATATATACAGGGGGGGTACCGGTGCAGAGTCAATGTGCGGGGGCACCGGCTAGTTGAAGTAATATGTACATGTGGGTAGAGTTAAAGTGACTATGCATAAATAATTAACAGAGTAGCAGCAGCGTAAAAGGATGGGGTGGGAGGGCAGTGCAAATAGTTTGGGTAGCCATGATTAGCTGTTCAGGAGTCTTATGGCTTGGGGGTAGAAGCTGTTGAGAAGTCTTTTGGACCTAGACTTGGCACTCTGGTACCGCTTGCCGTGCGGTAGCAGAGAGAACAGTCTATGACTAGGGTGGCTGGAGTCTTTGACAATTTTGAGGGCCTTCCTCTGACACCGCCTGGTATAGAGGTCCTGGATGGCAGGAAGCTTGGCCCCAGTGATGTACTGGGCCGTACGCACTACCCTCTGTAGTGCCTTGCGGTCGGAGGCCAAGCAGTTGCCATACCAGGCGGTGATGCAACCAGTCAGGATGCTCTCGATGGTGCAGCTGTAGAATTTTTTGAGGATCTGAGGACCCATGCCAAATCTTTTCAGTCTCCTGAGGGGGAATAGGCTTTGTCGTGCTCTCTTCACAACTGTCTTGGTGTGTTTGGACCATGATAGTTCGTTGGTGATGTGGACACCAAGGAACTTGAAGCTCTCAACCTGTTCCACTACAGCCCCGTCGATGAGAATGGGGGTGTGCTCAGTCCTCTTTTTTTTCCTGTAGTCCACAATCCTCTCCTTTGTCTTGGTCACGTTGAGGGAGAGGTTGTTGTCCTGGCACCACACGGCCAGGTCTCTGACCTCCTCCCTATAGGCTGTCTCATCGTTGTCGGTGATCAGGCCTACCACTGTTGTGTCGTCGGCAAACTTAATGATGGTGTTGGAGTCGTGCCTGGCCATGCAGTCATGGGTGAACAGGGAGTACAGGAGGGGACTGAGCACGCACCCCTGAGGGGCCCCCGTGTTGAGGATCAGTGTGGCAGATGTGTTGTTACCTACCCTTACCACCTGGGGGCGGCCCGTCAGGAAGTCCAGGATCCAGCTGCAGAGGGAGGTGTTTAGTCCCAGGATCCTTAGCTTAGTGATGAGCTTAGAGGGCACTATGGTGTTGAATGCTGAGCTGTAGTCAATGAATAGCATTCTCACGTAGGTGTTCCTCTTGTCCAGGTGGGAAAGGGCAGTGTGGAGTGCAATAGAGATTGCATCATCTTTTGGATCTGTAGGGGCAGTATGTGAATTGGAGTGGGTCCAGGGTGTCTGGGATGATGGTGTTGATGTGATTAATGACCAGCCTTTCAAAGCATTTCATGGCTACAGATGTGAGTGCTACAGGGTGATAGTCATTTAGACAGGTTATCTTAGAGTCCTTGGGCACAGGGACTATGGTGGTCTGCTTGAAACATGTTGGTATTACAGACTCAGTCAGGGACATGTTGAAAATGTCAGTGAAGACACTTGCCAGTTGGTCAGCACATGCTCGGAGTACACGTCCTGGTAATCCGTCTGGCCCTGCGGCCTTGTGAATGTTGACCTGCTTAAAAGTCTTACTCACATCGGCTACGGAGAGCGTGATCACATAGTCATCCGGAACAGCTGGTGCTCTCATGCATGCTTCAGTGTTGCTTGCCTCGAAGCGAGCATAGAAGTGGTTTAGCTCGTCTGGTAGGCTTGTGTCACCTGGGCAGCTCGCGGCTGTGCTTCCCTTTGTAGTCTGCAATAGTTTTCAAGCCCTGCCACATCCGACGAGCGTCAGAGCCGGTGTAGTACGATTCAATCTTAGTCCTGTATTGACTCTTTGCCTGTTTGATGGTTCGTCGGAGGGCATAGCGGGATTTCTTATAAGCGTCCGGGTTAGAGTCCCGCTCCTTGAAAGCGGAAGCTCTACCCTTTAGCTCAGTGCGGATGTTTCCTGTAATCCATGGCTTCTGGTTGGGGTATGTATGTACGGTCACTGTGGGGACGACATCATCGATGCACTTATTGATGAAGCCAGTGACTGATGTGGTGTACTCCTCAATGCTGTCTGAAGAATCCCGGAACATGTTCCAGTCTGTGCTAGCAAAACAGTCCTGTAGCTTAGCATCTGCGTCATCTGACCACTTTTTTATTAACCGAGTCACTGGTGCTTCCTGCTTTAGTTTTTGCTTATAAGCAGGAATCAGGAGGATAGAGTTATGGTCAGATTTGCCAAATGGAGGGCGAGGGAGAGCTTTGTATGCGTCTCTGTGTGTGGAGTAAAGGTGGTCCAGAGTTTTTTATTTTTTCCTCTGGTTGCACATTTAACATTACCAGTCCTTCTATCAGGCATT